AAAGTAAGAGCGTTATTAAATGATTTTTTTACGAATTGAGTTAAAATAATCTAATTATTTAAGGATTTAAAGAAACGTAAAAAGTTTCGTTTCGGTAACAACGTTTTTACTTTAAAGATGAGAGTTGCCTACTTATATCAAAATGTCGGTGTAGGTGCGATATATTAATTTTTTTCTTTTTGGATTGGATAAAAATGGCAACAAAATGTACCTAAGTAGGTAAAGCTTATTTTTTTGCTGTAGATGAAATATTTATATTCCCTTGTTTCATTAGTTCCAGCTCCATATTTGCACCTACGTTTACGGCCGTTTTGAACTGCGTGAGGCAAAATGTGGGCATGGTAATACTGTCCAAGTAGCAGTGTTCCAAGAACAGCTTGGCAAGCATCGCCCACTCTCGGTATTTGTTTATAATTTGCATAAATATGAGGCCCTAAGTAACTTCGGTTATACTGCAAGTAATGTAATTGAGATATTTTCATATCTAATGGCTTGTTTGAGATACAAAAAAACAAGTTTTAAGGCTTATTTATTGGTGTTTTGCGAGTTTTATTTTCCATTAAGAATTTTTAAAGGAGGTTTGTTCGTATCAGTTAAATAAGTAGAGAACAAGTTGCATTTGCATTAAAGATATTTGTGTTGACGATAAGCCAAACTCGTCGCATTTTTTTGAGGTGGTAAATCATTCAATGTTTTATCCGACTAAACTTCCTGGCTCGGACTCTCAACCACCCAGTTTTTACTCCTGCACTTTGAACCGGAGCCCTGGCAATCCGTTATGACTTCCGCGGCTCCGTATCAAACTTACCGCTTAGGTTTGGTATTAGTCTCAAAATGTAGACATTGCACTTATCTCTCATTAATTTACCTCTTGTAACCGAGTCATTGATCTCGAAAGGCCGCAAATCAGCTGCACTCAATTTATAAGGAACTCCGTTTTTATAATATCTATCGTGAGACATACTGAATTCACTAAAAATGTCACCTGCTGTAGGCTGTGCGACATCGCTGCCACCGCGCATGCTGCTTTTGAGAACCAGTCCCTCGGTGACTCCAAAAAAAGTAGAGCTTTTCGCAGTTCTAACCTAACCTAACTTCATCTAAAACTCCCAATACCTCAACTACACACCAAAAAATGGGATTACATACATAACCTCACGCCTGTCTGTCATGGGGGTTGTCAGAGAGTATGGAACGCCAATTGCTACTATTCTTACATACCTCTTGTGCCTCCTACAGACAAAACATACATTCGAAACACACATTTAGAATGTTCAATACTCCATCATCATTAGAAGTAGACACTTAAGAAATAATCGGAGTCCATATTTATCGATACCATGAGGCAATCCTGACATTTCTACGGATCTTACTAAAATGGCCTGACATAATAACGTTTGACCATATACAGCAGTTGTCCTTCCAAGTTAAGAGCAATCTCTATTAGTCAGTGACGCGTAGGTTGTGCAGAACGCGGAATCATGGATATTAAACTTTGTTCGTTTTTTTAGCGGTTTTTCTGTAGCGGGGAAAATGTGGATTGTGTTCTAAGAGTACGTGGGTTTTGTATGAGAATCCGAAAGTAGGTATCTAAGATTTTAAATGTCATCAATACAAATCAGACTGCATCGTTGGCCAAATGGTCACAAGTGCGACTGCCGGGCTAGGGGTCTCGGGTTCGATACCCGAGTCGGGCAAAGTATTGCTGGGTTTTTAAAAAAATCTCAGTAGTAGCACGGAGTCTGGAATTGTACTTGATATATGGCAATAGACTCACCCCCTATTACATGGGACTCATAACATAAATAGTAAAAAGGGGGTGTTCTTTGTGCAGTGGCATAGTGTGCACTTCTGCCTACCCCTTCGGAGATAAAGGGCGTGATGTTATGTTATGTCAATACAAATCAAAATATTGTAAAGAACAGTGGTAGCTTTCCACTTTTACTTTGGCACCCTCCTTTTTGGGAAGTTGGTTAAAATTTCCGCGAATGCGTGTTTGCTTTCGGTTGAAATGAAAAAAAACGACAAAATTTGAATATTACACAATTTCCAAAGGGATTCAATTCATATTGCATTCTGAACTTGTACCCAAACCAGGATCATTGACACATGATGTCATTTCTAAAAGTTTAGAGTCGAACTGATTAAAATAAGCTAAGGATATAGAAATGATGTCATCCAAGAGCTCTCGCAGTTGCGTGTGTCCACTTAAACAAAATACGATGCAATAAAAGGGTTTATTTTTGAATTTACAAATTTGGAAATGCATGCATGCATGTAGGTAAGGAGGCACCATGGAGGCACTGGAAAAAGTTCGACTAAAACTGACTGTTGAGTCACACTCGAACGTCAAAAGGAACGAAATTTGAAATTGGCGGGATTTTATAAAAAGTAAAAAATACGTCATCCTTTTTAACTCTTAATTGCCATCATTAAAATATAATTTCAAAACCGACCTCCTTAAAACATTTGAGTACATTGTTATTGAAAAAACAAAACATCTCACTCAAGGCCAGTCGGTCACTTTCAATTTCAAAGAAGCTTTTTATCATTAGCATAACCTTTTCTTATGATGGATTGAGGATACAGCGAAGCCAAAAAACTAAGAGGCTTTTTACATTCCACCGCTGGCTTAGCATCCATCTCTCTTTCCTGTTATGAAGGAAAAAGTGCAATGGACTGCGTGTCATGGTCTTTTTTCGCGTTTTATTTTAGGGTGCAGGTAGGTCCACATTGTTAGCTCTTGAAACCGGCTGGTAATGTCAAAGGAGTCACATTGGTGGTCCTTGGAGCTTTGGATCGTCTGGGAAATTGGCGGTGTCCCACAAAAAGTTTTGTTTTTACGTTAACAATGGTTAGGGTGCTCATGTTTTAGGGCTTTTGGAAACAAAATAAGGATGTAATTTTTTTCTATGTATGCAGTTAAAGATAGATCAGTAATTCATTAGATTTAAACCGAAACTAATGAACGTTCCCGGTAAAATATAAACATTAGTTAAAACTACACTGCGTCGTTGGCCGAGTGGTCGCAAGTGCGACTGCCGGGCAACGGCTCTCGGGTTCGATTCCCGGGTCGGGCAAAGTATTACTAGGTTTTTATAAATTCTCAGTAGTAGCACGGAGTCTGGAACTGTACTCGGTATATGACAATAGGTTCACCCCCTATTACACGGGACTAATAACATAAATAGTAAAAAGTGGATGTTACATTGTACAGTGGTAATTACTCATTTGAAATTACACTTACGCACATAAATATATAACCAAATACCTATATAGGTACAGACGTTCTTACTTTCTACTATTAGCCTACAGACAGCTGTTACTTCAGATCGGTAAATTAAAAACATATGGTGACACCATTCATATAATATGTGGTTATTTCTGTCATAACCAAAAAAATGTATTATCTTAAACATAATTCCACTCACCTGGGAGGCTGGGACACATAACGTAACTGATTAAAACTGTTGCATTTTATAAGTATAAGTGAGCTGTATGCACCTCTGACTCTGCCTCTTACCATCTTCGGGGATTAAAAAGGCGTGATGTCCTGTTATTTTTTCTGAAAAGGAAAAAATGTTAACAAACGTAAGGCAACAGGTACTATGTACTAAAATCGCAGCTGTAGCCAATTTATGACGACTTTACAATGAATTTAAAAAATAAATTACATTACGGTCGAATGAATGCGGCAATAAAATCATATTTACTTTCAATAACGGTTGACACGGAAATTTTATAAAATATCAATAAACTAGCGACCCGCCCCGGTTTCGCACGGTCACAATATGAATGTTATAAACATAATTATATAAACCTTCCTTAAGAATCACTCAGAGCGTAGTTTTAAAGATCTATGCATACATAGGGACAGACAGACGGCGGATAGCGACTTTGTTTTATACTATGTAGTAATAAATGTGCAAAAGTATCTACGAATATCTTTTGATAGTGATGCCAGTCTTTGTTTATTGTATAGAAAAAACTTATATCTAAATTGTTACTTACATTATAATCGAAGTAGTTATTTACATTTCTTTTTATTGTTATAAAAAATGGGACTATTACATGGGACTCATAACATAATTGGTGAAAAGTGGGTGTTACTTCTGTGTGCCTACCTACCCCTTCGGGGATAAAAGGCGTGATGTTATGTTATGTGTTATAAAGAATTAGGCATTATCAATTTGAAGAAGCACAGAATGGGTTCTTTATATTTAACGACGCGCAAAATGATTAGGTATATATTTCGACTGCAAATTATTCAATAGAACTTGTGTCTGTTAAGAAATGATTAATGAACGATGATGATGAAATTTAATAAAAAATGATACATAACTTGTGTCAAGTTTGCTTCAGGTCAACCTAGCTTCTTCTGTCGAATTTCTCTATCACATTTTCAACTTTATAGTATTGATGTAATAAAGTCGAAAATCCAATGAATAAACTTGTAGGTTGATCTGTTGGCCACTATACGTAATTATATATATAAATAACTTGGTCATTACTGCACATGATCGGATCAAAAGATACTATGACAAGTATATTTTTATTGTATCCTATTGGGTTGCTAAAATTTACATTTTTTAGAAGGCAATCGGATGACTGTTATGCCTACTTATTATAAGTTCTTATAAGAATAATTTTGATCTGCATAATGAAATTTGTAGCCTGTTGTTTATCGTTGTACTTTATTGTTTGGTTTTGCCCTCAAAGGTCGACGACGTACTTTTAATTCCTCTAATGTCAATAGTGTCCATAGGTGGCGTTGATTCCATACTACCATTAGGCGACGAATTTGCTCGTTTGTTCGATTTGATGACTAATTATTATAATCATTATAGCTCAAAGCATTTTATACATTCAATAAAAAGATCAGACCATCAAGTTCAAGATAATTGTAACCATCAACTATAGTCTGAAGCGAAAATTATTCTTCTTATAGTTATACAGAAATAATACGAATGAAATTAACCTGTCTATTTTTATTTTTACAGATTATCGAACATACGTCTTAAATGCCGCCCTCGACCGGGGCCCGTTGCAGAGACGACGAATAAACGAGGTGAATACAAAAATAGTTTGATATCTTCCATCTTTACTAGGTTCGCAAAATAAATAAGTTTGTGTTTATTGAAAACGATGGAAAAAGGAATTTATTTTCACTACAATGTAGACTCTAAACAAATTTATTTATAGCTAATTAAACTGTCAAACACCAAGCGGTCACCGGTGACCGCAACCTATTGTTCTATAATTGTGTCTACAAACAAAACCGGTACTCGCCGAGTAAATTGACAGAATCTGGAAAATATTAAAAGCAGATTATTAATAGACTAACAGGAGCTTATGCGACACTAGCGCTAACCAATGGTGTGCAGAAATAAAAACTACAGTACTTCGTACATCTTAAGGAAAATGTCAAATCTGTTTGCTAGGAAATACCTGTAATCCTAATAGCAATAAAAAAGAAGACTTAAGAAATTAATACCGTTTCATAATATTTACTAGGAAAATGTTTTAGCAATATGCAGTTCTTGTTATATTATTATTACACTTGACTCACGATTCTATTTGAATCAAAACCCTTCTTGGCAAGTAGAGAAACCGTAATTCAAACTTTTATAAAGATAGTGAATATTGCACAGCATCATAAAAGAAACTTATTGAAATCTTCAAGCTATAAAAATAAATATTTTTCTGATAAACATACTTTTGCTTCTCTATTGCGGCCAATAAAACCGCGGGGTATCGCAGTGGAGATTGTCATCGCTATGCACTTTACAAAACAAATGTATCATGTCTAAAAATACATTCAACTATAACCTTTATTATAATCAGCTTAAAGGCTAAATCAAACCTTTTTAATAAGCGAATAAAACGAATTCATGTGGACCAGAGACAATATAGAATAAGCGGCCATGTTGCTTGTCTATGGATAGAGATTTATGGCGCGAGTGCAGCTGTAATTTCGCAATCTTTATATTTTTCCGATTGTCGCTTTTGTTATTTTTACGACGGGGATGTCAGATATTATTATCCATGGTACTTTTAAACTTCAGAATTGTTTTATGGGCCGACAAATATATAATTTATCGATAGGAGAGAGAGATTCAATGGCGGCGTCGTTCGTTTTTCAAAATTATTCTCTAGCTTCGAAGTCTGGGTCCTGGAATCATAAAAAGAAGACGTAAAAACATCTATTTCTTTCTACATTTTCTTTGTTTTATCAAACGCGTGAAAATATGCTGTATGTCAGTGCAGTCGTGCGCTTGGAGACATTCTTATAATATTTCCATAGCTTCTGTCCTTTAAACCTTTTTTCTCGCGAATGTCGGAGCGTGCCGGATTGCGAGTAAAAAACATAATAATCACATGCAATTCAAGTGCGGTCGCGTAAACTAAGTTTTTGTCCATCTCTAGATTTAATAGTGCAAAAATTGAAAATATTTTAATAACGTTAAAATATGTAAGACATGTGGTAAAAAATGTGCATTTTATTTTAATCGTGCGATTTAGAACTGTGGTGATTGCGGTTTGAAGAGCACAGAGAAAAGAAAGTGTTCCATTTTTAATATAAATTTAACATTTATTTTTAATAAGAGTTTTTTTGAATGATATTGTGTGATTTTCAGGCAGTTACTTAGTTACGAACTGCTATTTAGACAAACTTAATTATGTGTGATAGTTTTTATACGATTCTTGAATGTAGCAATCTTTGTATTACTTAGTTGACAAGCTCGAAATAACATGTAATGTTTATTTATAATCTTGAACTTGAACATTTATATTGTATTTGTTCTCGAAAAATATTATCATAATTTTGATAAACAAAATAATCTAAAATAACATTAGTTTATATAACGGTCCATTTCGTCCTAAGTCATTGATATGCGCCCGCGCGTCACATTGTAACTTTGGAGCTTAAATGTCAACGACCTAAAAGGCGATATGTCACCGAACAGATTTCAAATTATGAATTATTTGGAAATAACGATTTATTCGAAATTGGAAGTCTGTGGGCGGGAGTCTGTATGGACTGTCAGTAAAATATTAATTGGAATTAGAATTAATACCTGTTTATTGGCCAATAGAAGTCTGATTGCTAGCATGATTTCGAGTTCTATGGCCCAGTAGGGTAAATTATTATTAATAGTTTAGAAAATTTTAGTACTAAATTAAGTGTGTAGAAATGAGGTTAGTATTGAGTAACCAATCTCCCCTTTAAGTTCTTAATGAAGCCCAAGAAGGGTATCAATATTTAAACATGAGCCCGAAAAGTGTAATGTAACAATACTACCTACATTAAAATACAAAGAAAAATATGGCCTATAAAATAAAAAATCCCTAGCAAAGACCTATACTACCTACTTATTAAACATAGCCCAACAGTTCACAACGATAATTTAAATACCGAAGTCAATGTAAATTATTTTTTTATACTTGCAACACTCGTCTTAAAGGTTGCCAGTACAAGCATACTATTTGTTCCACTTAAAGTTCATTATTAAAACAAGTCTAGGTACACAAAGATGGTTATGGGTACTGACAGCTCTTGTCTAAGAACATTAAAACGCACGCAAACCGCTCACAAAACGCACACAAAACGCATGTACAACAGTAATTACAGTTACTTCACACTTACACGTCGCTGTTGATTATGAAATTACATTTTATTGTTATACCCTGACAGGGTTTTATGCAGAAGGACCATTTTTGGCAAATGTGTATAATTATTTTCCTACCAACAACTGCACCGTAAAATAGCTGGTAAAATACATTTATGAAACTTTTTTCCTTTTACTCCTAATGCTTCTTCCTTATAAGTAATATCTTGGTACTTCCTTAGTTTCTATCACTTTAATGCATTAGGTAAATCTGGTAATTTTGACCAATAAAACACACGTCATTCAGGTTTTCAGTGAGACTCCAAGTTGCTATCATCAATTTCTCTACATCGATTGCTATTGCTATCAGCAATCTCGATTGTCCACGGACCTTCTGCATAATTCTATATCATGTCTTCGTAGCTCCGAAGAGCCCGTGAGTGCCGCTGGCTATAATTATCGTTGCACATCATATTTTTTTTTATTATTCACTGTCAAACGCTAAATGTGCGGCATTCTTTAATGCAAGCAAAACACGAGGTTATTATTGTATTGCTCCGTGTTCGGACACCTTGTGACGTGTCGTTAGTAGCAATTATTGTGATTTAAGGACATGCAAGCGATATTATTGGTCGGCTGGTTCGCGGCCATGATTGATGTCTGATGCTTTTTAGTTGAAGGACACAGGATGATGTTTTTTCGTTTATTTTGTGTGTCTTGTTCTTTTTTGTTTGTTCTAGTAGATTCTGGGTAGGTTGTTAGAAATGAGAGGCGGACTGTGAAATACAGTAGCAGAGAAAAAGGAGATTAAATTGGATATAAATAAGATAGAATATACAAATTGCAGTGCTATGTTATTAACGTTGGAAAGAAAAATGTGAAAACAATAAATAGTTAAAAACTGCGTTTATAACACCGACTTCAAAAACAAAAAAAAAAATGAAAAGTAAAATTTGCAAAAGAAAAAATATATACTATTGGTCATACGTACTTATAACTTAGTCACCCACTGATAGGTGAGAAGTCGGTGCCACAAGTTTTACACAAAATTATTCATTAAAATATTAATAGGTACCTAACATTATTAAGCTGTTTACAATTTTATTATGGATTATACCTGTGACCATTACCTAAGTTATATTTTGAATTGGGCTTTCTTTTCTCCACCTTTTTTTTTGAATTCGGTTGAAAAAGAGAGTCAATTTATTCGTTTATTAGAACTCAGCGCTGTTCAATATCAGTATGAAGATTGCTTCATTTATTAACTTTCACGTGTACGTGTGACTATAACAGTCGATAGACGATACATTTGCTTGAGAAAATTACTTTGAATTTTCGTATCAACTGTGAATAGGTTCTAAGAAAAATCGTAGTAGAACTTGCCCTTTCATACTTACATAGCAGAAAGGCTTAGAAGACTACACAAATATTTAGTCTATGAGATGTTGAGTGAATTCTCTAAACCTCTTTTCTGTGTAAAAATATACAAAAATTATAAACCCCGTGAATCCTCCGCATCGAAGGAATTCTGAGGTATAACAAAGATCCTCCAGCGATTTACTCCACGTATTATTAACATAACATCATCACACCTTTTGTCCTCGAAGGGGTAGGCAGAAGTGCACGTTACGGCATTTAATGCCACTATACAATGCAATACCTACTTTTCACTATTTATGTTATGAGTCCCATGTAATAGGGTGTTAGCCTATTGCCATATACTGGGCATATTTCTAGACTTAGTGCTACTACAGAGAATTTTTTAAAAACCCAGTATTACTTTGCCTGACCTGAGAATCGAACCTGAGACCCCTTGCCCCTTGCAGCCAACGAGGCAGTCCCTTATTATTACACTCCACATATTATAAAACCGAAAAACTACTATACCACACAAAAAAATCTCCATTTTGCCACAATGACATAACAAGGCAGTGTTGCCTCATCAAAAACTAGTTCCGTTAAAATATTTACATAACATCACCTGGCCGGAGATGGCAAGCAAATTAGCATGTATGTATGTATGTATACAGGTTTTATGCATCTCCATATACGACCACTATGTATGAGAGACACGTATAGTGTTAGACTAGTTAGCTAAAACTAGATTTTCTTGCGTATAAATTAATGAGGGCAAAAAATTCTCTGCTATTAATACAGATGGGAGTCTGGGATTGTTAGATTTCACTGGGGTTTTAGGTTTTTGTTAATAACTAGCTTCAGCCCGCCACTTCGTACACGCAATCCCGTTTCTCCCATTCCCGTAGGATTTTCAGGACATTTTTCTGCCATATCATAAGAACCTTCTCCTGACGATAACAAACACATCAAAAAAATCAGCCAAATCAGTCCAGTCGTTCTCAAGTTATGGCGTGACAACGGGAAACGGGTTTCATTTATATATATATAATAGATGTTCTTTGATATCTAATGTCTATTTGTCTATGGTATTTGTCTAGGT